CCGGCGAAGAAGTTTCAAAAAAGAAAAAGTATCAACATCTAGATAAACGGTTATTCAATCTTGTTTCTAATCCCCATCAGAATATTATTGACCAAATCACCGCAATAGCATATAATATTATTCTGTAATACAATATTTTCATTTCACGTATAAACACTAGTAGAATTACATGTATATAAACGATAATGGCAATTAAAAATCTTAGGATTTTGTAATAAATATAAATATAAAATAATAATTTGTTATTGCGTGCGCAACCTATCCGTGCACAAGATTCGCCGTGCGCAAGTTTCGTGGTGCGCAAGTTTCCGTTCGCATCTTTCCGTGCGCAACTTTCGTCGTGCACATCTTTCGGGATCCCATTTTTAACGAAAGCACATGCAATGCAAAGTGAGATTTCTATTAAACTCTTGAACAGAGATAACTGAAAGTTTGATCATGTATATTCTAATATGCATGGTATTATGAAAAACATCAAAACACTAATAAAGCAATAAAAGATTTATAATAAATATGGTGACTTTTTTAAAATTATAAATTGAAATAATTTACGTCGAAATTGAGTACCACAAAATGAATACAGAAAAAAATTAATAGAATATGATGAAAATGATAGAAGCTGTGCAATTAATATTGATAGATACCAACATTCGGCTACTTTTATATTAAATGATTGTCCGTTTATCGTTGTTGAATTGTTCGTAGATGATGCTGTTAGTTGTATCTGCATTCGTTCAGTATAAATCGTATAGATTTTTAAACCTATTGTACAAAAGTGAAATGGAAAATTTAACAAAAGAAAACTAGTTGAAATAATAATTAATAATCGAGTAATGTGTCTTGAATTTGTCGCATATTTTTGTTTCTGATGAGAGGATAATGGTGATGATTTATAATTGATACGTATATTATTTTTAATCAAGTAATTTTGATAACGTATTTGAAATCGATGATTCACGGCACGTAATAAAACTAATGAACGAGTTCTTCGTCGTGAACTTTTTGTATATTTTAAATGTTCAAATGATTCGGTTTTTCTCTGAAATAAATTGCTTGGATAATAAAAAAGTGGTAGGACACAACTTTAAAACATTTCTATTTTCGACTTTTTCCCTTGACATTCGAAGACAGCTTGAACACGTTTGCTCATTTCCTGTGCAAAATTCAATTGATGAGTCTCGTTGCTTCTGTATTTCTTTTAACCAAATTCATTGTGCAATACCTTTACAGCATGGCTAAGTGATTTGCGAACAGTTTCAGGAAGCACACAATCTTTTTCAGATTTGTTCTAACTATTATTGTCAAAAATAGAAATGTTTTAAACTTATGTCCTCCACTTTGAGGCAAGAATATGGTTTGTACAAAGAATTACTTACTATAAAATGCTGTTTTGAATGATTTAAAAATTCTAATGAGTTTGAATATTGATTGGAACTTATTGATCTAAATGATTTTGAAAAACGTTGACTCATCGAATTTTTCGTATAGTAAAAATATTTATTTCGTCGTTCATTATTCTTTTGACATGTATCATAGTACGATGATGAATGAGAAATGGTTGATAGTGAATGTTGTCTAATTTGTCGAATGATAAGTTGATTAAAAAATGAAATTAATGCAAATGGTAGTAAAAATGATAGTAATGCATCTGATATAAACCAATTTAAACTTAGTTCTTCATAACATTGAACAATAGAATTCTTGTAAACAAGTAATAAACAATATGTTAGACCAATTAGAGTCGATAATATAAGAATAATTGAATTAAATGAATTTGTATTTTTTAATGGTGTTTGTAATGGATATTTAACAGCACAATAACGTTGAACTGTAAAATGAATAGTGAAACATGCGGATAATAATTCGGCTAAATGTGAAAATAATGATAATAGTTGACATACATAGACATTATTCAATTTTACTAAATCGTTCACATATCGTAGTATTAACATGAGATTAAACAGTATATCGCTGGATGCTAAAAAAATATGGTAGTAAAAAGAATTTATAAAATATTAATAATATCTACCAACGCACATTCTATACGCTATTGATCATTTTGTAAAGGTTAGTGTTAGGAACTCATTGACGCTGAATGGAACTCACTGGCGCTGAGTGGAACTCATGTGGAGCCACTTGGTACCACCGGAGCTGGCGACAGCTCCACAGGGTTCTACTGGGTTCCACTGAGTTCCATCGGGTTCCACTGTGTTCCGCCGGGCTCCACTGAGTTCCTGGTGGTACCGGGAGCTGCTTTTCCCCCCCTTGCGTTCACTCCCTAAGTTAAAGGTCATTCCGTTTTAACCATTTCATCATGTACGTTGTTTATCTCGTTTCGTTCCCTTTTTTGTATTTTATCATACAGATGATCTCGTGCTGTTTTTGCGATATCATATGGTAGTTATCTATTTCATCAGACCAATGATCTTGTACGTTCTTCTAGGTACTATTTCATCATTCATATGATTTCGATCTCTTTTTATTACATCATAGCTTTCCAGATGACCCTGGTTTTGCGTGATTTAGAGTTGCATCATTTTGTTCATTGTGAATCTTTGATGTTTTGATATAAATACCGATGTACTTAGTAGGTTCGATAGGTTTTTGTTGAATACAAATAAAGTTTTATTTGCTCGATCAACTTAGACTTTTCAATCGGTGAAAAGGGTTTTCGTCTGGTGACAGCGCCTGACATAACAGTCAGATATGTCTCATTATGTCGAGGACACTTTTCCTTCTTTTTGGATTAACTAATAAATTCAATAAATAGAAGGTTTCCAAAAAATCTTCTCTAATATGAGAAGTGTTCTGCTAGAACTTTTGTCCTAAATTCCGAAAAGTATGTGAAATGTATTTATTTGTTACTTGGATGTTTTTAGATGGCTATTATAATACTTAGAAAGATATCCTCGTGTACCCTAGTAAAATCCCTATGAGTTTCCTGACAGGATCCGAGACATATCCTACCAGTATTGTACTGGGATCTCGCTTTAATTCCGTATGATCCTAACAAACTCTAAAAACTCCTCACGAAATCGGGTATACCCGAAAGTCATAGGATTTTCTAAGATTCTGTTAGGATCCTAAACAAAATTAAGCGAAATCCTAGTAGGGTCCTGGTAGGAAGTTATTGGGCGAATCCTAACTGTTAGGATCCTGTAAGATTCTAGTAGAAACTAGACAGGAAGTGCGTAGGATTTTGTCTAGGATAGGTGAGTCCATTGATTTTAGGTTAAAGATAAGGTAATTTCGTTAGAATTCGGTAGAAATATTGCTTTTAGTGCATAGGAAAATTACTGAAGCGTTTCACATTTGAAGCCTACATAAAGTGCTGTTACATAATTTTTTTATTTAAAGGCTAGTAATCTCAATTTTTGTATGACCACTGTTAACAGACAAATAAACAAAATAAGGATAACATCGAAAACTGGAGTATTTTGAATAAAAATAATATTAGTACTGTACAATTTGAAACCGGCTTCTGATAATCTAAAACATATTCTATAATCATTATTGGTAAAAAGATAAACGCTCTCCGCCTTGTTCGAAATGGATTTTGATAGAAAACTCCTATGGAGTTAGAAAAGAAGAGTCTCAGGGTTTCTTTCAAAACACAAGAAAAATCACTATGTAAAACAACTGAAACAGAGTAAAGCTTGAAAGATTCTGTACCAGTTCTTAGTGACTCACTGAGTCTTTCAATTGCGTGAAATTCGTTAATTTTTAATTCTAACGAAAATGTCTTTTGATTTTTGATTGCAACACGTCATCTTATGGCTCTAACTGGGAAACCTAGGTTTTTGTTTAGTCAAGTCGGTTTTTCAAATCACGAATAATTTACTTGGTTTAACTATGAGCTTCTGCTTTTATCGAGAAACGATGGTTTTTCTTCTATTTCAATAGATAAACATAAAAAAAGACAATGTTCTATTGAATTTAGCAAAAACAAATCATTTCGCACACATATGAAGAAGAAGCACATAACACAGACTCCGTTCCTACTATCGAACCTATGGCTGACTATTCTGTTAAGAAGTAAGGATTGTTTCTTGCAGTGCGTGCACTCTCAACGTCACAAAACTTCAAATCGTTTTGAATTATTATTTAATGTTATGTTGTTATTATTATTTAAGAAGAGATATTCTAAAAAGACGTAAGGTGTTTTTTCGTTCTTTAGTTTTAAACAGAACGAATAAAATATATTTTTTTGATAAACTTTTTCGATTGAGAACGTGAAAAACGTTCATCTTTTTGCTAATAATATCCTCATAGTCATTCACACAAAACATGGGACCAAAAATAAAAAGTAAGTTCAAACTGAGAGGAAAACGTGGTATTCGTTATAGTTTGAAGTTGAACGAATTAGCGTGAAAACTGAAGGTAAAGATCCAGCCATCGGAAAACTCAGAGACTCGACGAAGTGTTTACACTTGAAACGTAATTGATTGCTATGAAAAGTACTTACGCTATAACGATTATTTTCTATGCAAAATGCAGTTGATGAACGGCTGCTGTCGGTGTTTATTTTAGCCAAATTCTCTGTACACTAGCTTCACGGCGTAACTGAGTGATTTACCAATAATTTCAAAAAAGAGTAGTGTATAGCTGCTCCTTTTGTATTCACTGCAAGTATTTCTTTCAAACATGATATCCCTTAATATAGAGTTTCTTGATGTAAACTTCAACGTCTCATTCTTTTAAAACTTTTACGTAACGATACAGAATCCACTTATAGTGCGAGCGACATTGGAGAAAAATTGATTCGTAGAAGTTTCATACTAGATGAAGTGTTCGCAGATTCTGCGCCCATTCTCTCAGGAGAAATTTCACAAAATGAAACTAGAAAACATAGTTGCAACCATATTAAAAATCTCGATTACATCGTGCATGTGAAATCTTACCTAGAGCAATTAAAGGACCAATATTTAATGATCTGGGTAAAGAGCGTTTTGATAAAAGTATAATGGTTACTGTATTTCCGAAGAGACCGATTGATGAGACAATGAATACATATGGTATGGATATACGTAGGAGTATTGTTTGAAAATTTTCGAATAAATATTCCGTTCTGCTGAAATGACTGTTATTCTTAAAATCCATTTCATCGAATATCTCTTTTTCATTGCAGAATGTATTATCATAAATGACAATATTTAGCTGTTTCTCAAAACAACATGTAAAATAACATTGATAAATGATCAAAACAAGATATGATGACAAGTAGATGTGTTCTTAGATTAAATGTGGTTGAAATAATACAGTTATAAAGTTGTTGAAGTAGTTGTTGACTAATGGGTCTACTATATTATATCAAACTTTTCTACGCGTTTCTTCATCTATATTAATTACTATCATCGTTAATTAAAATTCCTGACTCTATCTTTTTGGTCATAAGCTACATTTTTGTTACAAATGATTTCAGTCTGCGATTATCTACAAATTAATGAGAAGATTCTTTTCATCGTAATTTTTCAGTTCTATGCTTCATTCTATTTATAATAATTTAAGAGAAATGTTTTTTTATTTTCTAACAGATTTGAATTAAAAAAATGGATAATTATAAACTTAATGAAGTTTTTGAGTTCTATGGGACGAGTCGCACATGCAAGGCGCCGGTAATTCAAATTGGAGCAAATTTTATTTTTGACTAAAAAGCGCATCACTAGATGTAGTTTTATCTGGTGATCACGAATCTGGCCTTTTTTTTATTTTGACCGATTTTTTCAAGAGAACAACGCAAAATACTGCTAACTTCTCAAATACGCCAAAAATCTTACGTTTGAGAAAACTGCGTTTCCCTCTTAAACCATATCTAGTTTTTGAGTAATCCCTAGTAAACTAGTGCTGTTCGTCTGAGGTGTTTGGATAATTACGTAAAATAAGGATTTGAAAATTGTTATAATCCTTAAGAAACTACTGCAATGAGATTCTGGAAGAATTAGACTTATAGGTTAATCTGAAATAGATTTTTCAAATTTTAGATACTTTTCATTTGAAAAAGATTCTCTGAGTTAAAAAAACTAGCTCTATCAGGATCTAGATAATCAGTTTGTATAATAAACAAAAACTTTTTTGCTGTTTGATGAAATCGAACAAAGGAAAACTCTGTGAAAAAACGATAAATTACCTCTATGCGTCTATAGACTAATATTAAAATGAAAAATATTAAACGACTAATATTAAAAAACGATTAAATATTTCCACCTTATTTAAATATTAGTCCGCTCAATATTTTTCTTTATTTAAATATTTTTCCTTTAGTTTAAAATAATTAAATATTTTCCTATCCTATGCGAAAAACTTAAATAATTTTCTATTCCGTTTATCTCATTGTGAACGAAGGAACCGATGTTGCAATTTAAACCTACCAAGAAGGTGCGAATATACGGAAGCTGACTTTTTTTATCTTATTTAAATATTTTTGTATCTGAATAAAACAATTTAATATTTTTCTATCCTAGGCGAAAAACTTTATCATTTTTCTGTCTTACAACAAGAAAAATATTTATTAGTTCAGATAGAAATATATTTAAATAAGATAGGAACATATTTAATTGACTTTTGATGTTAGCCGTTAAATATTTTTCTTTTTAACATTTTTCGGTATACCCACCTTTATTGATACGGTGCCAGTGTTTCAGGTTTTTGGTAGGATGACCATAACTTTTGATTTTTCAGAGCACCGAAATATCTTACTTGAATCAGAAATATTTGCTCTTCAACGTAGGATCCACTGAGCTATTTTTCTGAGGATGTGTATAGAAGAGGGTACTTAACTCCTTAAGGGCCTCTCTCCCTCAGAAATGGTGATTTTCGGTCAAAAAATTGGTTTTGAGATAAGCACATGGAAAGATAGCCTGAAGTGTCTACGTCCAGAATCTGTATTGCTGTTGGTTACAAAATTGGTTTTTCGGGAATTTTTATCAAGTTTTCTAAGAGCCTCGAAAAACCGAATCTTCAAATAATAGTTTTTTCCTGGATGCTTATGCATTTAAAATTAAAAATACAGCTTTGTAGAGCAAACGTTTCTGATCAACATAAGATCTCGCACAACTCTGTATGGCCTTGCATCAGAAAGTTACAGGCATTTTCCTTGAAGTCCTAAAATCGAGTATTTCATACAGCGTTTTCTCTATACAAGAGTTACACCTGAAATGCGTCCCAAGATTTTTAATAGCGGTTAGTCGTTGAGAGTTCATTCTTTTTTTATTTAAAAGAGGAAAAGAAACTACATGGACTGACAGGCGTCGATTTTTGAATTAGGTCTTGGTTTTTAGTCAAACTAAGGATTTTTAGAAAACCCGGAAGGCTTTTTCGGGTTCTGGAGATTGTTGTTTGCCTGGAAAACCAGTAGCTTAATTAAAAAATCAGCGCCTGTCAGACCATGTAGTTAGGTGTCTAGTTTAAAATAATACAAACCCGAACTCTCCAGCTTGAAGTATATTAAAAAATCTTGGGACACACTTCAGGGTCCTTTTTGAACCTTGATCTCTGGAAAACTCCTATACCGTAAGACTTGGAGACAAAAAATTTTTTCATTCCCGTAAGTCATTGTATGTAACATTTATGGAAAGTTTCATCGTGATCGGATGTACGGTTTCGGAAATAATTTCTGAGGGGGGGCAGGGGCCCCTTAAGAGCATCACGTATACAATTTATGCAATGGTAAACTGTGTGGAAAGAAGTAATGGCATGCTAGAAATTGTAACACTGAATTATGTGTTGATTACGATTCAAAGTCTTGTGCTGCAGGAACTCGAGTTCAAATAAATGCACTGATTTTATAAGGAATGTAAATCAGTCTGTAACCAACATAAATTTTCTCTGTTCGCGTTCGCTTTTTCTACTTCGGGAAAAAGTAGCCGCCCGTCCAGTTTTAAATATTTGACACGATAAAAAGATGCCTATCTCGACATACAATAGAATAAAAAGCGTTAAACGGAAGTAAAACAAACATCACACTATTCAACATATTTAACTTTTAAAATATTTTAACATAGTTTTTCAGCAATCAAGCTGATAAATAAACAGGTGGAATTCGCCGACACTAACGAGACTGCCCCAGTAGTCATCTGAAAGAAGAAACGCATCATTCAATGAAAAGCACTTTAAGAAAACAAGTTCTAATTCTTAATTAACATTTAGTAAACCCCACATAATATGTACAGCTGTTAATTACGGCTAATCAGCAAAGTTTTTAATCAATACCATCGGTTGGACAACTCACTGAGTTTTTATTTTGTGGATCGAAACTCGCTCGTCGTTCACTTGTAGCTAGTGGTACTTTCGTATCAAAAATATTTCCTGGGCGATAGGCATTTGTCATTCTACTTGTTGTTGTTTGGCCACCAAATGTAACACTTCGAGGTCTTGTTTCTAATTGTTGTCGACAGTCAATGATTCTATCAATACATCGCTCGACATTAATTGTACCATCAACATATTTCATAATAACTTCTCGAATATCTTCACGCAATTTGGTTGACATTACATCAGCTCCGCTCATGTTAGATACACACTCTTTTATTATAAAAAATAGATTCGTTTTTGACTTATTTATAGTTGTAAACTTTCACCTTAAGACACAAGTAAATGTTAGCAGTTTGATGATTAATAAGAAAAATAAAAGAAAGAGAGAAAAAATATTTGTGTCAAACAACTCTGATTTATATTATTAGGATGATTATTTTATTAGTATAACGGGAATGTATACGTAGTTCAAATCAAAACTTTCAGCCGTTAGATACATTCGTTTCTTCGACTGGTAGTCCATCCCTAAAAGGAAGAAATGGCTTTTCATGCAGCCATTTATGTATACTGGCAAAACGATACAAGCTAACGTTAATGTTCGTCACATATGAAACTTTCTTCTCCATCATTAAATTAACTGATTATTTTTCCTTTTATTCTCATTTGTAAAAATATGCTCGCATGTGTACACATACGAAATTTTCTTTTATTTGCGCATAGTATTTATTTGGAAATTAAAAAATGCAATAAAGCCTAACTTTTATTATTGCAGTAAATACTCTTGTTTTTTTGCTTTTTTAGGCTTTTTTTCATAACAGGAACCTGATCTGAGTCTTTGACGCAGCAACTATTTGTAGCATTTTTCAAGGGCTGTCGATTACATCAAGAATAGTTTGCCACTGAAGCTTAAATAGTAGAGAAAAAAACTGGCAGAAAAATTTAAAAAAATACCGTGGCAGATAGCGCTAAAAATTTAGATCCAAGGTCATTTCTGATCTGAAGTAGATCGACAGCGGATTCAGTTTTATGTCATTTTCCGTATTTTTCGGAGCTTGGCAATGCATTTTGGTGCAAAAAAGAAATTATAATAAATCACCAATCTTTCTTACGCTGGATTGCCATTAAAAATTTATTTTCGATAAGATATGCGAATGATATTTTGACACAAAAATGCTACAAATAGTTACTGCGTTAAAGACTCACGAGAAAGGTCTACCAACTTATAAATCGTTATCCAGTCAAAACCTAATTGACTATAGGTAATCAACCATGCTGATGCCGAATATCACCATGACTGCTGCTGGGTCTTCAAAGATCGGTTTTCTGGAAAACCAGTTTTTTAAAAACTTTAAAAAGATAACCAAAACCTTTTCTTAATGCTGCATGCTTGTAGCCCGCACATTTCTGATTAAAATGAGACGTCCCACAGCTCTACACGACCTTTCTCTGCAAAGTTATAGAATTTACAAGAAAAGCCCTACATTAATTTCTTCTTATTTCTGTAGCTTTGAGCTGTAGATATGTTACAAACCCAAACCCAAGCGACTTGGGTGTATTGGGTTTGGATTTAGGTACCCAAGTCTAAGACTTGGGTTTGGGTCAGTTGCCAAAGTGCATTAACATTCTTCTTCAATGAAACTTAGTAGTAGTACCTTACGCTCTTCTGCCATACTATTCATTTATCTTTTTCTTTTAATCGTTGCTGTTTTCGCTTTCAAAACTCCGCTTTTTGTCTTTAGTTTTCCCTATTCTATTATATCATTTTTATAGTGTTCACCGATCATTTGTTAACATATTTGTGGCATGTTACTAGTGCTTATTTTTTTAGTATTTTTCTCTGTTTCAAGGATGAGGATGATATGAACAAGATAATTAGAATAAAACATTCAACTGTTGGATATTTGAACTAATCCAAAATGAGCTCTTATCGTTAGCATCAGGCATTACGTATGCCCACAGGCCGAAATAAACATCTTACATCCTGTTTTCTCAAAGAGCCACAACAAAAGAAGGTATCTCAGTTAAAAGGAGTCTTTTAATAACCCAAGTCTGACCCAATACCCAAACCCAAGTC